GACGTTACGTCATCCAAGGGTGAATCAAGCGCTTTGCGCAAACTGAATATTTTGAGTGAATTTCTGCAACATAGCGTTTGATTTCAGTGTGTAGGGACTCAAAGCGGTTTGTTATGGCTTCGAAGTATCATTTGGAAGAATCTGTAAAGTGGCGAATTATCGGCCGTTTAGAAGCAGGGCAGTCAATCATGGGAAACAGCCACATGTCTGAATATTTCAGACACAGACAGTCTCTAAGCTATGGAAACAGTTTCAAATGATGGAAGTGTTGTAAGGAGGCCTGGACAAGGTCGGAAAACGAATGACAACTGCTTCTGAAGATCGGTATCTGGCATTAACTAACTGCCCGTCGTAACAGAAAGGCTACTGCTCGCCAGTTTAGTTCAGAGCTTGCAGCCGCCACTGGAACTGTTGCATCACAGCAAACAATATACAGAAGGCTTAATGAAAAAGGCCTTTATGCCAGAAAGCCAAGGGTTGTGTTTTACTGTCTTCACAGAAAAAGCGGGATCGCTTTAATTGGTGTAAAGAACATCAAAACTTGGACTGAACATCAATGGTCCCATGTTCTCTTTACTGATGAGTCGCGGTTTAATTTAACTGGTGATTCTAAACGTGTTTACATCTGGAGGGAGTCAGGAACATGAAATGATCCCTCGAACATTGTGGAACGTGACTACTTTCGGTACTTTCGGTAGTGGAGGTGTGATGGTATGGGGTGTAATAATGATCGATGGACGTACGCCCCTACACGTGTTCAGCAGTGGATCTGTGACAGGCCAGATATATCGAGATGAGGTCTTAGATCCTTATGTAAGACTTTTCAGGGGTGCATATGGACCTGATTTTTTATTTATGGATGATAATGCCCGTCCACATCGAGCAAACTTCGTTGATGAATTCCTTGAAAGTGAAGACATTAAGCGAATACCTTGGCCACCAAACTCTCCTCACCTTAACCCGATAGAGAACTTATGGGACTACCTTGGAAGAGCAATTGCACGTATACATCCTCCTCCTAGAGATGTAAATGCTCTGAAGACGGCATTGCTGGAAGAGTGGAGATTAATTCCCCAAACTGTGGTTAACAACGTTATTTCCAGCCTTAAAACACATTGTGATATGTGTGTACAAGTCAGGGGAGATCGTATTTATTCCATATTAAATTCGTAAGACTTAATTCTTTTTCTGAATCATTCCTTTTTTTTCTTAACTCTCTTTGTCACACTTTATTACCATTTTTATTGTTTCATGCTACAATTTTATATCATATGAGGTGATCTTCAATATTTTCTTTTGCATTTATGTGTCATCATGTTATGTATAATTATCCAAAAGTTATGTATAGTCTGTCTGAAAATCCAGTGAATTTTTGCATGTAAACATAATTTTGGACATGAGTGTACTATATATATTTATAATTCCTTTATTGTTTAAAACTTTATAAGGTATTTCTCCCGCTTTCCTTGCGTGCCTTCGTGGTGTAGTATAGTGGTTCTGCACGCTGGCCGGGTTATTCCAGAGGTCCGTGGTTCGATTCCCGGCGAAGGCGTTGTTAATTTTCATCCTCCGGCCTCCAAAAAATATCCTAATGTCTCTACAGTGCCCGAACTAAAAGGGTTGTGGATGATGATTCTCCACACCCAGGATTTGGCGACTAGGTCCCCTAAAACCCTAGTCGCCTTTAAAAAGGGGCGTATATAAGGTATTTCTCCCGTTTCCAAGCGTCCTCATGGTTTGTATGGTTCTGCAACGCTGGCCCGGTATCCAGAGGTCCGTGGTTCGATTCCCGGCGAAGGCGTTGTTAATTTTTATTCCGGCCTCCAAAAAAATCCTAATTGTCTCTACAACTTATCCGTAATACAGTTACAAAAGTTTTAGTTTTTATGCACTTAAAAAGGAGAAGTTTTATGACACCAATAAAATGTCTTCTAGGATTCTTAAGAAATATGTTGACAAATAAATCAAAAATAAGATGCAGAACGAAAAACATTTTGTATGTACAGAGCTTGAAAGCCCGTCGGGCTTTCGAGAGAGAGACAGAGATTCGAGTATCGAGTACTTGCAAATGAAAAAAAATTATAGAGTATCAAGCTCGAGCTTAAGCTCGTTCCAAACTCTAGTGACAATGTCCTTCTTGTGTGTTCTTCATCCTGAAAGGAGTTGTGACCTCTGTGAAATTCTGTAAATGATCTGAATACAGTAGTAAGATATGGAATTTTATTTCCAAATGCTAATTGTAGATAGATGCTGAATGCATTCTTCTTGATTTAGTCCCACTTTTAAATCATGGAATATCGTAGCATGATAATGTTCTCTTGTCAACTCTATTTTTTCTTCTGCCTAAGATTTATTCTATGCTAAAATACTTGCAATTTTCCGATAAAAAATCATTTAATAAATTCATATTTTCAAATCTAACCATTAAATTTTTTCTGTCACTATTGTCTGCACATATCTAAAAAATTTCAGATTGATCTACTTATATAAATTCCAATTAAAAGCACTGTTAAGATGGGTATACCACATGCAAATTTTTAGACAGAACGTTTAATTAGTATCTTCTTTTGCCACTAGATGTAGCCCTATGTCTGTTATGGTAGAATTTATTGAGACTGGAGAAAATGTTGATCGCCATTCTACTGAAGCACTTTTTTTTAATGTTTTTCATTTTTGATTCCCCCCTCTCCCTGAATCAAAATACAAGCAGAAATTGTGAGTTTATTAATGTAATAGAGCTGGCTAATTCAGAAGACAAACAACAAAAATCAGCGTTATATTTACAAAATTTCCACAGGACTAGTTTCGATGGTTTTTCCGAACCACCATCCTCAGCTGCAAAACCACAAATGAACAAGATAGGAAAAAATGATTAGATAAGATAAGAAAGCCTGGACAAGAATAAGCAAGTGGCGACATCTGTTGGTGAAACCAGACAATAACATTTACACCATAAAAAATTCAATAGAGTTTGTAAAAAAGGTTAAAAACATTTCTCCTAGTAATTTACTCATGGTTTCTTTTGATGTAAAATCATTATTCACCAATGTCCCGGTGGAGGGTGCATTAAGATGTCTAGAAACCAGACTTCGCGAATTTCATTTCTCTTGCATCAAAATTGATGAGCTAATTTCTCTCACTCAACTCTGTTTGAAACAAACACATTTTGTTTTCCAAAATAAATATTACAAGCAAATTGAGGGATTAGCCATGGGAAACCCCCTCAGTCCCATCCTGGCTGATATCTATATGCATTATTATGAATCAAAATTGTTTGAAACTTTAAACTTCCCGGCATGGTTTCGCTACGTAGACGATACTTTTACCCTGTTTGAAGGTAATAAAGATGATTTAAATAAAGTTCTTTCAACAATGAATTCTATTGATCCTGCTATTCAGTTCACTTTTGAACTTGAGACTTGCAATTCTCTTCCGTTTCTCGACATTCTGGTCACACGTAACACATCCAACTTCAGTACTACAGTTTACCGTAAACCTTCATCGGTTTGCCTTCCACCACACTTTAAATCATGTCATCCGACTAAACAAAAGTTAGCTTCATTTTATTCCTATGTTTTTGATGCTCTTCAAGTTTGCTCCTCCAAACTAGCCCTTGATGAAGAACTAAATTATTTAAAAAGCAATAGCTATTGACAGGGGCTTTTCACCCAACATTATTAATCAAGCAGTTAAAAAATTCTCATCTCAACACACTAAAAGGCACACTCTTGTTTTAGGAGATTATAAAAATTCTGTTGTAATTCGGGTTGTTTATTCTCCCATCAATAAAATTCCGAGTTCCATACTTAAGGACCCCATTCCAGATATGAATTCCTGGGGTATTTATAGGATTCCTTGCCAGTGTGGTTTAATTTACATTGGCCAAACTAAGAGAGCCTTAAAATTTCGCATCAAGGAACATGAGGCATATGTTAGAAAAAAGGAAACACAGAAGTCTTCTGTTGCGCACATTGTTGGTCCGAAAATCGCACTTTCAATTTTTCTGCTGCCAAAATTATTCAAAAAACATCTTCCATTGGAGAACTGGATTTTCTAGAGGCATTTCACATTCATAAAAATCTTTCTGTTCTAGTTAACGATCCTAATTCCAATCCAAATTTGCCTTCGGCCTTTAAAGAAATTATGTTTTAGTTCTGGTTTCACCAACAGATGGCGACACTTGCTTATTCTTGTCCAGGCTTTCTTATCTTATCTAATCATTTTTTCCTATCTTGTTCATTTGCGGTTTTGCAGCTGAGGATGGTGGTTCGGTAAAACCATCGAAACTAAACCTGTGGAGATTTTGTAAATATAACGCTGATTTTTGTTGTTTGTCTTCTGAATTAGTATTTATTCGGCGTGTTATTGTGTCTTAATAGAGCTGGCTGTTAACTGCATCAGCTAACTTTTGTTTTTATTTTTTGATAGTATGGGGATATATGTGCTATTGTTTTAGAGGTTTCATTCATTCATCTTAGAGTTTGTGTAGCATTGAGGTGAATATTTTGTTTATCATTTAGCAAAATATTTTTTGTACTTAAAATGGCGAGGAAAATATAATGATAAAGTTTTCAAATAAATTCTAACAACTACCTGAGTATTCCTCTCATAATATGCACAAAATTGGAATTATAAGATCACAAAGCGCAGATTGCCTGTCCGAACAACACAGTGCATCATCCTACGAGAGCAGTTCGGTTACTAAGGCCCCCGTCATGAATCTCCCTGACTACACAAGAAAAATTATAAACTCCAATGATGTCCCATTCAGATGAACTGACTTCTTCATTCTGTTATCATAACAGAACATTTTTCTAATGTTAATGCTTTTATAATCTTTGCCAGATATATCTACATCACACTGGCAGGTCCATTTTAAGTTAAGGTATGTGGTGACTTATGACAGTATGATATGTATAAATGGTGCTTTCTTTTTTATGGGAAACATTACTATTGCTTTGATGAAATGTGATGCATTTTTTAAACATGATATATTTCAGATATGAAAGTTTCGTGCCAAATTTATCATGCTGGAATGTCAGCGGACGATCGTAAAACTGCACATTATCAGTTTGTTCGGGATAAAGTAGAGGTAAGGTATAATTTTTGTCTAGAATACTTGAAGCTAATTGATGATAAAGTAGTTCAGCTGGAATATATTTTATTAACTTGCACAAATCCATCTAAATTTTCTGTTATTTGTTAATAATGTAATGTGTTAGAAAGATGCAGTGACAAAAAAAAATTTTGTAGGTAAAATTTTTCTTATAATATTGCTTACACTGCTCATTATTTTGTAAATATGTGGTTGTTGTGTTGTTTATGTTTTGATTTCCAAGTTTGAAAAATTAAAACATTCTTTTTTATTTTTAAATTTACTTAAACTCCATATTTGAAGAGATTAAATTCAGATAATTACTCATTGTTTACTTTAGGATTATATGTGAAAAACACTGCATTTTTCAGTCTCTGAGAGATTTTCAGCACTCTGTATCTTAATTTGTCTGTGAAGATTATAGATGTGAGGCATTGCTGCATCAAATGGAAAATTCATATTTTATACCTAATTGCCATTGCAACAATCCCATAACACTGGAATAAAATACAAGAACATAATTCTCTATGATTTTCAGCTGCTGTTAGTATCACTATAAACAAACTGATCTTTTGTTGGTTTTCAGATATAATCGCGATTTGTCATACACATTGATTTGCTTTTGACTATATTTTCTACCTTGTTTTTATAAATTTAGATGTTATTTTAATCTCTTGAGATAATATTGATAAACAGTAATTGAAAATTCTCTCTTTTCTGGTCAGTATGAATTTTACTTAATGCAGAATTTGAAAATCTTTTGTCATTTTAAAACAACCGAGTTGGACACCGAGATCTTTCTATTAAAAATGTTAATCATATGCCTCTTACTTATTATGTAGGAGTTGAGATGCATGCATTATATATAAGTCTATATAAAATAAAAATTCATAAATTTTGAATAGAATTACACATGGTATTGTAAAATAAAAATGTTATTTGTGTCTTCAAAATCTTTGTTGAGATGACTAAGTTAGCTTGTTGAAATTACCGCTTTCTTCAGAACTAAAGTTTAGAAGTATTGCTCTGTGATAGTGGTTTTATGTCATTTGCATATACTCTTTATACTGATTTTATAGTGATCCTAGCCATGTTTGATTATACTGAGCAGTAGTACGAACAGTGCCTTGCTAATTTCAAATGCTTATTTTATAGGTTGTAGTTGCTACTGTGGCATTTGGAATGGGAATTGACAAACCAGATGTACGTCGTGTCATTCATTATGGTGGTATGCTTAGTCCTCAAATTTCATATGTATGTGCCTAATTATGCAGTTATTCTAATAGGATAAAAAATTTGAATGGCATGTTAGAAAAATATGCATATATATAACATTTTTTTTATTAGTAAGTTAAAACATCCATATTTGAAAACCAAGCCATTTAATGACCTACAATACTTGAATAATGAAAATAATAACTATTTGGGTTTTAATAGACTACAGATATGGGGGCGTAAATTTGTACCCAGATTTTATAATGTAATACATAAAATCAGTATACATAAATCTTGAGTAATGCAAAATAAGTGCCAAATAAATATTTACAGTAATTTACTATCAAAATAAATGTTTATGTTATATTTATAACTGTGTTCATATGCATGTCAAATTATGGATTATGGAAGCCATGTGAAGGACTGGACAATCCATTGATCATAATGAGCTTTTGCATCATTTGCAAAGAATGCATCTGTATTATTAAATTATTATTATTATATTTTTCCTGGACTGTTCACCCATTCAAAAAAGGAAGGGGCAAAAGAAAATAAGAGTAGTTAATGTTCATAAGCAGTTTAGATAGCTATTTTTGTGTTTAACAGATTTTCCTCATTTATGAATATTGTATTTCATCACATATCTTTCCTGCTTTTTTTAAACTAATTTTATCATCCAAAAATTAAGAAGAGAAAATTATACATATAATGTAAATTCCATAGATAGTAATAATTTAACTTCTGAAAACAAAGACTGTTCCTTATGGTTACGGTAAGAATATATCAAATGAAAAATAGTTCTGGGTTAATTGCAGCTAACTATCACAATATTATTTAAAAGAAACCTACAATAGTAATATTGACATCATAATATCTAATAAGATATCTTTATTTCCACCTCCTTGTAACTTGAATCTCACCCATTCTTATTGTTATCTCTGCTACTAGATCAAATTATCCATATATAGTTAGAGAAGGTGAATGTGCAGCCTACTTGACAAAATTGTAGACTGAATATACGTTCATGTTTGTTTCGACCTGATAAGTCGATTCTTGTATTAGGCCTACATAAAGTTCAGCAGTTAGAAGGGAGAAGTTTGATGTGACCTTTTGCATATAGGTGCAAAGTATAAAAAATTTCTCCATGTCCTTGTGTATGTTAATTGCAGCTAATGTCCTTGTGTATGATGCATTATATAACTATGATATTGCGAAATTTTAACTAAATATTTGTGAAAGTATGCTGTATATGTTTATATAAAGTATTTTTTTTTTAATTCTGTTAGCTCCAAAAGATATTGAATCTTATTATCAAGAAATTGGAAGAGCTGGTCGAGATGGTTCTCCAAGTACTTGCCAAGTGTTTTATGGCAATGCTGATTTTGTTACTTCGAAGTTAGTTTTTTTATCCTGATAGTTTGTATTTTTCATGCCATGCAGTGAATGTATTTCTTTTCTTTTCTTAATGAGTACAATAATAATTTAATCGTGTAATTTTCAGTGCCTTGAAGTTAAAAATAATTTTCTTTCTTTTTTTTTAATTTCTTGTTGGGTTTTAGAAAATAGTTTGCAGTATATCTTACACAAATCAAGTATTTTTTCCCATTCTTTTACAGTTTGAAATAATATATTTTTAAAAAAAATTATGTTGTTCATTGTGTTATGATATTGTTGTTCATAATGCAATCTGTAATCTCTCTCCTTTTGTATGGCTATTGTTGGTATTTATGTATTTTTACCTTGCCTTGAAGTGAAAACTAAATTAATTCAATAAGAAATATATCTAATAAAATTCGAGGGGAGAAGTTTAAATGAAATGCAGAAAAAAATGCATGTAATTTAATATTCCATGCAAGGAAGTCATGTGGTGTCCACATCAAATTTTTTATAGAAGGTAATCATATAGAGTGCATATCATCCGCAAAGCTTAAATTTCCATGCCTAAACTTTCCAAACTGCTTTTGAACTGTTTCATCAGAAACAAAAGTTTTTTCATATGTAGCACAAATCTTAAAGCAGTCGATTAACCCCCTTTTTATTTCCTTCTACGAAGTAAAAGAACTATTGTAATCGTGAAAAATTTCAGGTATCATGTTTCAACAAAGATATCCATTTGAACAATGCTTTTGTGTGACATCTGTATGTACGAACAGTATAAAAAAGACTATTTTTTCATAAAGAATTTTAAAATGGATTCAGAAGAGATTTTTTTCCTTGACGTGTCTGTATGTACACTGCACGAAAAAAAAGGGGAGTACCTCCCGTTTTACTGGCTGATTGACGAAATTCAAATTGTGTTTTCCATGTCTAGAAAACGTTATTAGGATATATATTAGATTTATATATAGCATTGTTTTAATTTATAATTTAATTAGGGACTTTTACACAAAATTTACTCTTTCAGACGTGACATCCCAATTTTTTTTCCATATTTTGATTTTCTGATTAAAATTATGCCTAAATATTAAATTTTGTAAAATTTGGTGCGAAATTTATGGCAGAAAAAAAGTCATCGTTCTACTTTCAAATAATTTTAGCAACATTCATAAAACACATTTGGCATTATTATCACTTATAATATACAGTCAAAAGTCATTAATTCGGAAGCCCATAATCTGGAATGATCTATAATCCGGACCTCAAAGCTAAAATCGTTTTGCGCATGCGCCGCATTGACGCATGCTCATAGGCGTTTTACGTGTGCTCGCAATACATTTACGACTGCGCATATGCGTCTGCGCAAGCGCAGAATACGTTTTCGCGTGCGCGTTTAATGTATAACGAATGGTTCCTTAATCTTCGAATTGGATCCGGCTTATTATTTTTTGCAGACTGTAAGAGCAATTTTATAAAAGTAAGCTTGAACTTTCGATTATGTCAAATAGAATTTCCGATGCTGGAGCTCCCAAAGGATCTAGAAAGCGAAAGTATGTTTCGATGTCCATCAAACAAAAAACGAATTGCTACAAAAAATGGATAAAGGTATTAAGTTTGTTTATCTAACCGCTCCAAAATCTGTTTATCAATTTCACGCTGCTCTGCGCAGGGGGGGGGGAGACGTCGCGGCGCGCAATGAACTGGAAGTTGATCTGTCAGCACTATCGTTATCTTCAGGGCAGATGTTTTTATTTTATTCGGCTTATAATTCCTTACTAAATGTAGTATTTCATCTCGATGTACTCCATCTTTGATATGATTTAAATCAAATTCCTCGTCATTATAAATATCACGAATACAAATCAAATAGTTTTCTGGTTGCAATTTTGTAATTTCGGCTATGCGTAAGCTATGCATGCGCGCGTTGAAAGAAATGTTTAATAAAGTAAACAAATAAATATTAAGCTTCTTTTTTTGTAAATTTTGATACCCTTTAGATCATAACTGCTCATTATTTTATAAATTGCGGTTTCATATTTTTAATTTTATAATTTCTGCATGCCATCTTACCAGATTTAAACTGATGATCTATAATCTGGAATCGCCGAAGTCCCGACGAGTCCGGATTAAAGACTTTTGACTGTATATGTCAAATTTCAAAAAGTGCCAGTATGTAAATTCACATATATCTTCGGAAATTTTGAATAAAAAGGTCTAATTTTTTGCAGGTATGCTTAGAAGTAAGTACATCTGAAGATGATGGTAAAAATTTTATAGGTTATAAATGAAATTTTTTTTCAAAAAATTATGTAAAAATATATCATAAAAAATGGGAGAATTTATTTGGAATGAACCTAAATTTCGAAATGTGAAAGGAAGAATCAAATAAGTTTAATGAAAAAAAAAAGGAGAGATTAATAAATTTATGTCAAATTCAATTAACATGGAGGAGCTAGAATTTTGATAGCTAACTTTTTAAAAACTACTAGTGCGATTTTTACAAAATTGGCAGTTTGGCATAATGTAAGTTCCAGAATCAAAATATGGAAAGAAATTGGCATGCCATTTCAGAAGTCCAATTTTATGTCAAAATACCTATATTTGAACAATGGTATATGTAAATCTAATTGATGTCCCAATTCGTGCTTTCGAGATATAAAAAACGCAAGCTGAATTTTGTCAATCGGCCCAGTAGAACGGGAGATATAGAACTGTTGCGCCGGGCCATTTTTTTTTCGCAGTGTATATAGGTAGGTAATTCGCAGAGTCTCAGAATGTTGAAATTTTGTATATAGTACTTCTATAACATATATTTGTGCACCTCCATTTTTGATTGCAATTGGCCACACCAGCAGTATATGAATATACAGTACAAAGTCCAAAATCCAAATGTCCATTATCTGGAATGATCTAAAATCTGAATCTCAAAACCACCAACAAAGTTTTTCTCATAGGCTTTACGCATGCACATTTCACCCCCCCTGCACAAAATAAAACATCTGGAGAGTCCCGATTAATTTCACTTCAACACTAAATAAAATACCTTGTTATTGAAGAAAGTATCATTTTAGCATAAATTTGTACAATCAGTAATTTGGCTCCTTTGCTGTGTATCTGCTTGGCACACATCTCAAACTGAAACATTCCACATAGATACATCCTTGATCTGACCCCCCAACCTGGCGAATCATTATTTATTATACTTTCCTTTCATCCCCTCGTGTTTATCAAAACATGACAACTTGAGTAATGATTCATGTAGCGATGCCTAAACATTTTTTTATGTTAGTAATTGAATAATAAAGGAGTATGGTAAACTTTTATGTTGACATTACGTTTTGCGATGATTACAGATTTAAGTTAAATGCGCTAAAAAATGTTGACGAAAACTTTACCAAAAATTTCTTGCCATATGCTAAAATAGATTTTGTTGATGATACTCATAGACCCAAAGATTACATTTAGGGCTATTTGAATTAAGAATAAATATGATTTGTTATTCACATCAACCCAGAACTGCGCCAGAGCTCGTATGGCTGCGCAGACTCGCAGAATTTAGGACCCACAGAGACTGCATCAGGCGATATGATATCTAGCGCCAGCTGTAACAGCTTTAAATATTATTAAAATCTTGCAGTTTAAAATAAATAATTTAATTAGATGAACATTAAGGTATTTGTGAATGGCAGTATTTGAAACTAGGCTCTAGTGCCAGTGCGACTCTCGCAAGAAGAATGTAATTTTGTCAATCAGCCCAAATGTTAAATGTTAGAATTCTTTTTCTTCTTGTTTTGTATGTCGCCATTTTGAGTGCTAAATAAAGTTTTTTCTGTGTTCCATCATTGGAGTTGCTTCATATTGCCAAAGAAGTATCACAGTCATAATTAATTTGGAGGCACCGATGAGATCGAATAATTGTGCGTATTTTTATTTTATTAGTTTATCACTGAACATAATATTAGTGATACCAGATTATTACTTCCTGTTAATATTGAATTGCTGTATTTTATTAGTTCATCACTGAATGCAATATTAGCAATATCAGATTATTACTTCCTGTTAATATTGAATTGTCTTATTTCATTACCGTATTGGATATTATTTTTAATATTCATTTTAGTTGTCCAGACAGTAGATAAATATATTGCTCTATGTTGTTATTCTTATTTTATTCACAATTAATGTGGTAGAGAAAATGAGCTTCATATAATTTAAATATTTCTTTTTTGAGGTATACATATTTAACAGAGTACATTTAATTCTGTGATTCCTGACTGCATTAATTAATTGAAGTAATTGAATTGAGCTATTTTGAGGAAGTATAAAGAACACAGTGTTCGTTAATTTTAAACATAGAAACAGTGTCTTACTTAGGAAGAGCTCGTAAGGAAGATTTGCAAAATCTCGCGGCTGAACTGGGAGTTCATGTGACTGCAGATTTGAAAATAGTCGATTTAAAACAGAAAATTGTTGAAAGTAGAGATTATGATGAAGTATTCGTCAAAGGAGTCTTAGACACAATAATAGAAGAATGGAAAGAGAGGGAGGAAAAAGAAGAACGGAAAGGGAAAGAGAAGAACGTAGGAGACAGGAAGAAGCAGAAGAGCAGAGGAGGAACGAACAGTATGAATTAGAGAGATTAAGACTTGAAGCAGAGACAAAGTCTCAAAATACCGAACAGATCCGGCCGAAAATGGAGCTGCGTCACCTTATGCAGAAATTCGATGACAAGAAAGGAGATATCAGTCTATATTTGCTATTGTTTAAAAGGCAAGCAGAATGGGCTCAAATTGATAAAGAAGAATTTGTATCTCATTTACTAGGACTACTTCCTTACAAAGTATCCCAGTTAATAGCTAGTGAACCCTCCGATAAAGCTAAAGACTATGAACACGTGAAGAATTTATTGTTAAGACGGTTTAAACTAAGCCCGGAAAAGTTTAGGCAGAAATTTATGAAACATCAAAAGAGTACCGAATCCACATAGGTGGATTTCAATTATGAAATAGAAAATTATT